GTAATAATTTATTTTTTCATAAATAATCAAAAATTCAACAATAGAATAAATAAGAAATCATAAATAATTATTTATATACTCAAGTAAAAAATCGACTTTGAAACACCTATTAAAAATTAGCTGCAGCTTGCTGCTTATGTTAATTGGTTTCTCCATTTAAATAGTTTTGAGCAAGAGTTTAGTCGTATTCTACAGTAGACGTTTCTGGTCTCACTGTTTCCCCTGTTGTTCCTGTTGTATCAGTTTCCCCTGTTGTTCCTGTTGTATCAGTTTCCTCTGTTGTCTCTGTTGTATCAGTTTCCTCTGTTGTCTCTGTTGTATCAGTTTCCTCTGTAGTCTCTGTTGTCGTTTCTGTTGAGCTGGTAGTAGTCTCTTCGCATGCACACTTTTCTATGTCTTCCAAAATATTCTTTAATTCGTTCAATTGGTAACTATTTTCTTCTAATTCATTTTCAATATAATGTTCTTTTTTAACAATTTTTTGAAGAGAACTATTAATATTGTTTAATCCTTTGGTGTGAGCATTTACAACATCTAAAATTGTGTCTTGTTGGTCATTTAATTGTTCAAGTTGGCTCTCAATTTTATTTAGTTTTCCATTATTCGCCTCCACTTGATTGTCTATTTCTTTTACATCCACTTCTAATCCTCTAAGGTTTTTCTGAATACTGTCGATTTCATTAGAGTTTTCGTCGAGTTGATTAAGAATTTTGTTCAAGCGAGTTGATTAAGAATTTTGTTCAAGATGTCAATGCATTGACAGTCGTCGATATCTGAAATCAAATTAATATTAAAGAATAGTGTTTAGTTTCAAAAATTTTTAATTAAACTGGAATTAAACCGATTTTTTTACTTAAACAATAGTCGCTTTTTTTATTAAGATATATTTTTAAGGAGTACTTATATAAAGTATTTGAAAAGAATATTAGATAGGATAAAGTTGGAAAGAACAAAAGCAGAAAAGTGCCATTAAATAAATGACCCAATAAAATACAATAAACAAAGTAGGTCTGCATCTGTAACGTGTGGAGGGTCGGTTGTTCCACGGTACTTTGGCCTCGCTGGGCCCATTGTGCATCCTCCTAAATTAATAGACCTCTCTGAGTTCGTCAGCGAGCCAAAAGATTTAATAACGTCGATATCGATGTAGACAAATTCTTACACAAAAAATGATTGCAAAGGGATTTTTTTATTGTTATAGATGCAAAAAAGCAAATTATTTCATTGCCGGCAAAAAAATGAAAAACTCCATGGATAAGAAAGATTATTTTGAATTTGGCAGGTTACACGACAGCTCCTATCATCAAGACCAAGGACATGTTATTCGCCATTTCCCTGTTGCTAACAAAAAATAGAAATTAAAAAATACGACAGGAGCAACTTTTTTGAATAAAACTCCATAGTTTTCTATTTTAGTGCCAGATATTTTAAAAAAAGGCAAAACAATAGGGAAAATGTCTTCCCCCCCCTTAATGATACGCCCATGATCTCAATAGAAAAATTGTTCCTACTGCTTCTAAATCTCGATAAAACAGCTAGTATTCGTACCAAGTTCGATTTTTGAAAGTGGATAAGTTCTGGAGATTATAGAAAAGACAGATGTAGACCGTCAGATAGTGACAGACATACAACCCTCGAAGAGTACATCGATTTTGAGCAGAAAAAAGGAAATTTAGGAGTGGCCCGTGGTGATAACATATGAAAAATTCGATTACCTTCAACAAAAATTAAAGGTATTTGTTGCTCGGAATATTAGAGAAATATTGCAAATCTCTATAAAGACAGCCACTAATAGTGAAAACGTAATTAGTGGAAAATAAATTCCATGCTAAAATAAGACTTATTGCAAACCTTAAATTTTGACATTAAAGTTCTTGTCCTTATACATATTTCTAACCTCATTTTAAAAATGTGTAAATTACAGTTCATCTTTTTTGTTGTGTACATAATATGGAAGAGGCATTAGAAATTACCATTTTAGAAGGAAGATGATGATTATATTAAATATTTAATATTAAAAACTTTAAACTGATACGAAATTTGAAAAGCGCACCCGAAAACTATAAAGTCGCCACTATCTGCTGTCCTTAAACATCCACAATTAAGAACAGGTACATTCATTATTGAAGTCAGATCTAGAATTTAAGTGATCTGCGCATGCTCAGATGTCAATATAAGAGCGGCACTAATAGTGACTGACCTTAAGTGAACTTGCAATAAGTCTCTATTATCACGCAAGCCGTGTTCACTAAATGATTAACTAATGGAACTAGGCTTCGAGAAAACTAAAGGCTTTAATGTTACAAGTGACTAAAGGATTAAAATAAGGGCGTAATCTTGTAAGGAAAACCGTCAGTTAAATGTATGAAAACGTATAGCGTTACTGGTCCGAAAAATATATTCGCTTAAAAGACCCGAATAGATAAGTGCATTTTGGAGTCGAAAATATTTCTGTTAATGAAAATCCAATTTTCCATGTGTTATCCTAAAGAGCCCCTCGTACATTTCCTTGGCGAACCTATATCGCTCCAACAAACTATCCGCGTAGTTGAATACCACAGTTGGCAAGGCAGTGAGTACGAGCTCTCGGTCCTGAGCCCATAGATGTTGGACTCATTAAAGATCCCTGCCCCTGGTTCGGCTAAGTTTCTGGTATTTAGGGACAGCATGCTTACCTCGTAACTTTAAATAGGTTGGTGTTAAATAAATTAATAAAACAATATTAGTTTATATTATAAGGACGAAAAGTTGAGTCATTCGGGCGACTGCGAGAAGTTTTCCAGGCGAGACGTAGTCGAACCTGGCAACTTGTAGGAATTCTAAAATGCACTTTTTTAATATTTCAAATTTTTCTTACAACTGAGATAGCTGTGATCGATAAGAAAAGTTAAGTATATTCTGCGGACATTCGAAACTGCATCCCGAATCGGTTAGGTAGAATTTTTAATAACAAAACTGCATTCCGGGTACAACAACGAAACTGCATCCGCGGTGCAAATTTTATTTCTACTAAAATTCTACGAAAATTTAACCAGTGTTGTCAAAAGTATATTTTGAAAGTAGGTACCTACCTACAAAGTAAAATAAACATACATAAAAGGTACTTTATTGAACCCTTACCAGAGAAATATTAGAAAATGGGACATGCATATATTAGAATTATAGGAAGATAGATTTTTTTATACTGGTTATTCCAGTAATAATTGTTGTTTTGTAATGAGGTTATTTGGATAAAACTATGGGGTGGGATTTTAAAAATGCCAAGGGAAGATCAGTATACTATCGCCAAATATTAATTTTAGTTCCTCTTTGTCTTTGTGTTGGTGTTTTTGTGCAGTTTTTAATAATGGAAGCAACATTTTGTTTAAGTGAAAGAGGCATGTCGTTATTGGTAATTCACGATACAATAGTGCAATCAGTTTTGGGTCACAATCACGAAAAGTTATACGATCAAGTTTTTAACAGATATCTCTTGAGTAATTCAGTTAAGCGTAAAGCTCTGGAGGACATTTGTGAAAAACCTTTAAAACTATTAGAAATGAAATTAAAAATTTTGCACTCGCGACCTTAACCACAAAGGACATTGTAAGATTGAGGCAAAATATATACAATGCTAGATCTCTCTTCTTTTTAAAAATCCTAAAAATATTTCCGAATTTCATATGGCAATTGAGTCGCCTCCTATTTTAACCAATCAGGAAGAAAACTTCTTGCTTAAAAATAAAGAAAATAATATTGTCATATTTTCGTGTTTATCAAACTTTAAATTTCTGTCATCTGTTTCTTGTGGGTAATATTGTCTCCGTTTTTTATTCAGTTGATCTTCAAATGATCATTACATTTCATTAGTTTTTTGTCTCCTTCCTAATAAAACTTTCTTATCATACAATCTTGTTTTTAAGTATATAATAAGAGGAGTGTGCCAAACTTAACCACCCTGTTTCGTCAAAAATGATAACAGCAGATTTTGAGATTGCTATTCATAGAAGCATCTACTGGGCGTTCCCAGAAGCAAGTTTACGAGGTTGTCGCTTTCACTTAGGGCAGTCATGGTACCGAAAAATTCAGGAATTAGGCTTAGCTACAGAGTACCAAAAAAAGGGAGAGTGAAACGGAAATATCAAAGATTTTAACCTTTGTTTTTGGATTATCATTTCTTCATCCTGAAGATGTAGGCGACATTTTCGCAACTGATTTGACACAAATTAAGCCTGTCAATGAAAAAGTTACGCAGTTTTGGGATTATCTCGTTGACAATTATATTGCAGAAGACCTATCTTTTCTTTATATATGGGCAGAGTATTCTTCTTCTTTGTAGAGAACCACCAATTGTTGTGAGTCTTTTCATTCGAAAAATAATGCTTCCTTTTACGCCGCTCATCCTAATGTGAATGTTTTTATAAATGTGATAACTCAATTTTAAACTGACACATATATAAAAATGAATAGTGTTCTAATCCCAGAAAAACTTGACACTCAAAGTTTAAGGAGAAGAAAATTTCTCGAAGACTTACTTAGTGATTTAAATCAACATGAAATAAGTAAATTAGACTTTATTAAAATAATGTCTGCTTTTCGATTTTGTTTTCTGTTCGGAAAACGACGTTTCATGACAGATTTAAATAAAAAAGGACAATGAAAAATCTAAAACAATAATAATACTACTTCTTACCATGTGCTGCAGCAGCTACGACAAAGGAAGCTAGTAGAAATACCTTCATTGTTGATTACCATAAGACACTTAGTTATATACTAGTGTTTGAGAAATTTATCATCTATTTATAAGTATTAAAATATGGAAAAAGAAAAACAGATTTAATAAATAAACAGACTACTTACAAAATATTTTTGCGAACTGTTTATCAATTTAAAGTATTCCGCTGTTTTCGGTTTTATTTAAGCCCTATGTATACATCAAAAAATTGAAAAGAATAAAATTCCATAATTTTTACAGTCCGAATTCATTCATTAAAGCAACAATTCTTTAGACAAAATTAATAATGAATAATATTGGGTTTTTCGTTTTTTCCAGTTTAGTATTATCAGCAGCAGTTGTTGTTAAAGGTAATTAACATATTTTCCTTATATTATTGAGGTCCTTAAACTCTTTCCATAATAACTTGGGCCTTATTTCCCTTGATTTTAATGTTACTGGTTTCCATTATAATATATTCTGTCACTTTTCTTGTTTTAAAATTAAATTATTTTCTAAATTGCTAGCCTTTCTTATAATTCATCTAGCCTACTATTTTTCTGTTCGGCATTCCAACGATCTGTCAAACAATAGCTGCCAGTGTCTGGCATCTTGGACGTTATTTTTATTTGAAATAGTAGTGCCAAGCCTGTCACTTTATGAAAAAATGTAAAAGCGCTTTTTTTTAAATAATATTTTTATCGTGTTCGACCCAAAATATTTTAATGTAATCCTTTATTAATGATTTTACCTATTGTAGATAGAATACATCGTATGTCGCAATCCTTAGATATACCAAACCTTCCCACTGACAATTTATTTCTGCATTGTTTACATTATATTTTAATTAATTAACACGACAAATTAAAATTAGAAAAAAATTTATTAAAAGCTTCTATTATTGTAAAGATTATCTTATATAATTAGTTAAATTTAAGAACCTATTTTTGATCATTTTAGGAAAAGATTCAGAATGTGAATGCGAAGATATTTTGAATAAAATACTACAAAAGCTGTACGCAAACTCCGGAGAAATTCAGAAAACTATTAATGAATTGGAAAAAGATTTAAAAAAAATAAATAATCAAGCCGATGAAAATACTGAGAAATTATGTAAAATCGAAAATCAAATTGAAAAATTGAATATCGAACAAAATGCTATTTTAAATATTGTGAACAGTCACACGACAGGGCTCGATAATATTGATAATTCTATACAAAAAATTATTAAAAACGAAGAACATCTTGAACAGGTTTTGGAAGGTAACAGTTGTTTGATGGATGAGCTAAAGAGGATTTTGCTTGAAGTTCGGGACTGTGTATGTAAAGATGATACAACTAGCAGTTCCACTACTACAGAGACCACTACTTATAAAGATATTACTCCCACTACAAGTACTACAGAGACTACTACTTTCACAGAGACTACTACATTAGATACTGATAGCTATACGTAAATTAATTAAAGTGCACTAAATTCATAATAATATAAAAATTTTAAATTGTTATTTCATGTAATGATTAATAAATTAACTGCAGTATATTATTGATGTATTTTTAATCGAAATATTTAAAATATAGAAAAATTAAGGGATATAGCAAAGTAAACGAGAATCTTGGATATCAAAAAGTCCCTCACTATCCCCTTTACCACCTAAGACATATATGTCAGCCTTTCAGTAAAAAATACGCCATTCCCATTCATATTAGCCAAATATTGAATATGTTCCTAAAATGGAATACCAAAAAATTATTTTAATTAGCTTTGGCAACGCCGCGCAAATCACATCCAAACATAGTTCAGGATATCAATTTTTTCCCCTTAATGCATCGTATGCCGACTCACAAGTTTTGCAGGTATGCATTAAAATTATTAGTGCACAAGAGGAGCATCAACTACCAACTTTTTATGTAGAACATGTGTTTGAGTATAAGCTCTTTATTCATGTTTAGCAAATTTAACTATTGTTGAAGGTAATGTGTCCATTTGTTAACAAAAATGAAAATGAGATACCTAACATGGAATGGTGCGGTGTCCGCAATTTGGAACCCACATGTTTTTATTGTTTCTATTGTAATGGAAAGATGTTAGGGGTAAACAGTGGATACACTACAAGGAATGTTTAGGCTGATGTAATGTCAACTGTTTAGAAGCAGAAAACAATATATTTTTGAAAAAAATTTGTAAAGGAGTTAAAATACGTTCTACTGATGTATCCGATGCAATTATTTTAGGTTGACTGATTTGCTTTTTCATGTAGCATATAGTAATAAAATGTTTTGTGTAAGGGTTTGCTTTTATTTTTCCTTAAAACATATGTTCCATATTAAGGACATATTCCGTATTAGGTACAAAAATTAAATTTTTCATACAATATTTTTCAGTGACCCCTGTGTGATAGATTTAATATTATGAATAATAAATTATGGTTTTCAAAGGTGTAAAGAACATACAAAAACAAGGGGTGTTAAGAAAATATTCTGAATTTAATATACATATACAAAAAAATGGTATACCATATTTGGCTCAATTCCTCTACACCTTACAGTTAGACAGCAACACGGCCTTCTGTTGTCTTATGGGGATGGTGCAGGTTAAGATAAACTCGGAAAGAAAATGTCAGATTTTATTCAGGTAAAACAGTGTACGGCTCAGAAAACAAAAATTGATTTATTATCTTCAACCAAAGGTCTTAATCTCCTAAGTGGTAGCTTTTTGAATAAATTTGACACACTGTTATTTGTATAGATATTATTATTTTTTTTTTTAATAACACAAACATTATCGCAATAACAACAAATTTTATCTTATAATCTTAATCATAATATTGTATTTTTAAGGTAAATATATTTTCGGTTGTTTTTCTAATTTACTTATCATTTTTGTAGCAAAATATTGGAAAAATAATTAAAATTATTATCTGGATTATAATTTGTATATAAAAGAAACTCCAGGCGATTTGAGTTTATTTGCATGTAATTTAAAATATTGACAATAAAAGTTTGTCTATTAAAGATTTTTCTTCTCCAAACGTGAATTTCAGATATATTCCATAAAATATAAAAATTACCCCGGTCATTGGTATATCATCGGAGCGGAATGTGGTCTTATTTCTTTTGGTTCTCTTCTCTCTAAAGACTGGTTCCTCTTCCTCTTACAGTCTTAGGATCTTTGCAATGAGCAAATGATGAATTCTTTAGGAGCTACATAGATAATATAGCCTCATTGCATTTCTGTCCTCTCTTAATCTGACACAACGAAAGATAGTACGTTCTGAGTCATCTATCTCTTCTTAACAATACTTGCACTGGCTATATCTTTCAATAGGGTAAATGTCGGCCATGCTTACTCAAAAACTGCGTCATGTGGTAATTGATTTTCTTAAATTGGCAATCTAGCCAAGCTTCCAGGTCTGGTAGTAAGATTTTGGCCCAGTGAGCTACCCTTTCGAGTTCTGCCCATCCTCACATCCACCTTTCAATGGTTTCTGATTTTTGTTCCTATTTTTGTCTCTATTGTCATCATAATTCTACACAACCTACCCCTCTCCTTTATTTGCAAGTCTGTCGGGGGAGTTTCGCTAATCACAGCTAACGCCTCTAGTGAAACAGTCCAGTGTACGCGCGTAACTCTCAACAACAACAACTTGCGATGGGTAGAAAAAACAACTTGTTTTTCTACTTTTTGATTTTGGTCACCCCTTTCAGATGGGTTTTGCATAAAGGTTACACCCTCGCTAACATCTTTCTCTTCAGAATCCCGGGCCCGCTTATGTTTGGTAGCAATCTACCTAGAGCTGTGTCTTTTGGCCTTGTTGATAAAACCATAAAAACACAAGAAAGAATTAAAGGTAATAAATATATCTTTATATATTCAAGTTTTTTTTTTAAAGTATATATTTTTCTACAGGCAATCAAAAGAACTTCAGAACCTACCAAATTGTCACCTATTGTAGAGCTGACTGTTTTGAAACCGAAACTAAAATACCCTGCAAAATGACTATTCAGTGAATAAAATCAATGAATATGGCTTTAATAGGGATCCAGACCCAACTTGTCACAGGAACTTTCGTAGAACTTCTAGTGGATACAGGCACGGGCGAACTTTCTATTTTTATTTTCATATTTCTTTATTATTGTGTACTCTAATAACAATTCGTGCAATTTTAATTCTAATAATAAAAAAATGCATGATTACAATCGTGTTTTACTTCATAATAAGATGCATTTTTTGTTCCACAAATCCAAAATTATAAGTTTTCATTTTCTTTTTAACTTAAAATATTTCAAATTTTTATCTATCACAGAACATAACCCAATGCTTTATATACATCTAAGTATGTCGAGTGAAGAAACAGTGCTGTTCCTAAAGTGGCGCTGGGAAACAGTAACAAAGCCTACACAGAACACGAGGCGAAATAACCTTAGCAGTTGAAGCCGATGACAAAAAAAAATGATAATAACTTACCGGTTTATTAGAAAGGCTGAGTTTGAAAAATCCGCGCTCATTGACCTCTACCGCTATCTATATAATAATTCATGAACAAATTGCCAATTATTAGTTACCTTCTTCTTTTTTAACTCAACTATGTGCAAACAACTACAGATGGCGCTGAAAGAATAGTATAATTTTTCACTGTTGAGTGGTACATCCATAGATTAGTGAAAGTGAACGATGGGAAACTCAATGATAAAATTCTGAGTCGATGTGCTGCCATCTATCAAATTGGAGTGGTACTAAAATTCAATATGGACGCCACGAGCGGGCTTTTTGAAATTTAATTTTGTAGTAGCTGGGCAAAAATATAATGAAGAAAATCAAATAAAGCAAATAAATTGGAAAAATATTTGACTAGTTTCAAATCATAAAACAACCATATTAACTGTATTGTGATTTGAAACTAGTCAAATATTTTTCCAATTTATTTGCTTTTATTACAGTAAATTAACGCCGCATCATACGAAGTGGCCCAAAAGTCTGGAAACGGCCAATTATCTCGTAAATTGCTAATCCTAATTGTACAAAATTTGAGATACACCTATTTTGGGATACAGAGATTTTAGATTACGGATTACATGTACATATTTAGCGTCCGAAATATAGCTAAAATCAGCCCTAAAATCGCAGGCACAAAAAAAAATTTTTGTTGCCCTGTGAATATATCAACGTGTATCGTACAATACATTACTCCTGAACGCGTATCCACGCAGGAATGACTAGAATTGTAGTAAAAATCTCAACTCCTGCAGTTATAACTTTCATCTACTTCTTTCCGAAGATTGTCTTCCCTCCAAGGTTCCATTTTGAATTACTTTCAAAGGCTGTTAAGTTTGTAATATTGACATTTTCTATTTCAAAACAACACTTTTAAATATACCTATAATTTAACTAAGACTAAAAAGTTTATTAAGTTAATTATAAGAAAGCGTTGTGAAGTGAAAGAAGATGTAGTTTCAAATATTGAGAAAGGTATGTTGAGATGGTTTGGATATAAAGGTTTGGAAAAAAATTAACGAGTCATACTGCGTAGGTACGTCCATCTCTATTAATTGCAGCAGTTCTTCGTAGGAGAGCATAATCGGTGAATATATTCAATAAACGTCAAGATTAACGTACATACTCTTTACTTATTACAATAAGTATAGCATAATTTTGTTATTTTCTTTTTTTGTTGTAGAGTTTTGCGAAATTATGACGAATCGGCAGAGTCCGAGGGGAAAACCACTAAGGTCAAAACGTACCCGTATTCTGGAAAACACGTAAAAATGTTTTATGTGATTTCGCTGAAAAATCCCCCTTAATTTTATACTATGGGCTATTCCCTTCGCCACAAGCGGCTGCATTAACATTTTTAAGAGCAAACATGACGGGCGCTCCTCCACCAAAAATCAATTTTACATTTGAGGCAGTTAAAAAAAATTGTAAAAAAAAATGGTTCAGGCCAATCGTTGTAAAAATGAACCAAGAATTTCGCTAAACCGCGAAAAACTTATATTTTTAAAGAAAAACAACAAAAATTTCAACTTTTTAATAAATTTAATTTTTTGGCTCTTTACCGGCATTCTATACCACATATCTTAACTATTTTCTAAATAACTTTTTTTCAAAAAGATTACCAATTTTAAACAGGACCGAAGATTAACATAGTTTTCATTCTGATACTAATTCTATTAAAACAATGATACCAGTGAATATGGCAACGCTGCTAGTCTTTGAAGCCCGTGGTTAAAAGGGTAGCTGCCGTTTAGTTAAATTTGTTAATTCCTGTGTCGAAAAATAGGTAGTTGTTTTTGAAGAGGTGCGAAATTATTGTGATCGCCTTAGTTTGTTGTTGAGGCGTTGTTAGGTTTTTGTTTAATTTAGTTTTTAGTTAATTTATGAAATGAAAAATTCTGAAAGGCAAAAATGCACATCTGACAAATTTCTATTTTATTTGTTTGCTGCCAGAGTTAGTAA